AAAACAAAAAACAACGAGAGAAGTCGATACACATTTATAGATAGCACAAAATGTGAGGCGTTACTCTCGAGGAGGACATAATGTGCCAAATGGAAGGACTGGAAAGCTCCGAGAGCCTCCAGCATCGCCCTTCGGCCTCTTCCACTCAGGCGATAGCTGAGGATGTTCACATCTGATACAGCACTGCAGCTCTGATTGCCCTCAACATTCGTTCAGTCATTCACGATCTTTTCTGCTTTTTTTTTGTTGTTATTTTTCCAATGGTCTTTCGAAAGTGCATTCTGAAGCCACCAGTACTCGGCCCAGCTATTGGACGCGGAAAAAAAAATAGAGTAGAAACATTTCTAGTCGGATGAATTCCGGCGCTTCTGTAGTGGCCCGTATGTTTCCTAAAATCGTGACGCGTTAACCGGCACAACTTCAGGAAGTACTGGTGGTTTGAGTTTTGATGCCTTCACTCATAATTGTGTGTGTGCACCTTTTTTTTTTTTTTTTTACATTCTTTTGAATCTTTTCTCAATTTCAATTGCGTGCACAGCTCCAGAGAGGAAAGTGGACCCAAAAATGGAATTTTTCAAATTAAAAAAAAATCATTGAAAGAAAGGAGGACCGCACACTTCTTTTCTGAAGGAGCTGAAAGGAAAGAACAGTGAAGAATATTTGTTCTCCTAGAGACAGACGAACACAACCTCCACTGACAACCATAATGCCCGCCGCCAGCCGATAGCCACAACCTGGTAATCCTTATTGCTATTGATTATTGAATCAACCACCAAGTAGTCATCCTGATCTACTATTCGGCCACCACCAATAGTCATCCCGATTGCTATTGAGTCCCCCCACCTGTTAATTCAAATTGCTACTGAGCCACCACCAATCGTCATACTGATTTACTACCGACCTTAGATATGAAGTCATGAATCATTGCACTACCGCCAGGCAGGTTCTCCTTCCATTTGTTTCATATTGCCCTTCGCATTCACATACTTTTTCTTCTCCAAAATCACACGTCACAAATGCCACACATGTCACACATGTCACACATGTCACACACATGTCACACATCACATGTCACACATGTCACACATGTCACACATCAGACGTGTCACACGTCACACATGTCACACATGTCACACATGTCACACATGTCACACATGTCACACATGTCACGCATGTCAGGCATGACACACATCATACATGGCACACGTGTGAGACACGACAGGTCATATATGCCAGAGATGTCAGAGATGCGACACATGTAAGACATGCCACAGATGCTGCAGATGCAACACATGTCACACATGTCACACATGTCACAAATATCACAGCCTCCTTGTGCTCGGCGACAGGTGTTCACCTCAGAGATTATTTGCAAGTGAACAATCATAATTGCTGCTGCTGGAAAGCCATCATCTCTGATGCAAGAGAGGAGCTGTCTACCTCCACCGATGCTGCTAGCAAGTCGACGAAATCTCGAAAGTCAATGCAATCTCTGCCGTTGGCTGCCACCTTGCAGGCAAGTTAGTCACCATATCTGGGATTTTTTTTATTTTTATTTTTTCCAACCACCAGTACTTGGCCCAGCTATTGGCCACAGAAAAAATAGAGTAGAAATGTTTCCCGTCGGATGAATTTGGGCACTCCTGTAGTGGCCCGTACGTCTCCTAAAATTGTGGCTTGTTAACAAGCACAACTTTAGGAAGAGTACTGGTGGGGTTTAAGTCCAAATTGTTGTAGAGGCTGGCTACTACTAGTAGGCATATGACAGGTCTGCCAGCACCTGACCTGACCATTTGACGACCATATCTGTTTGACAGGTACCTAGGCTCTGCTTTGGGGGGGGCAAGGACCTGAGGTGGGATGGGGTCCCGTTTGGGGGGAGGGTTGGCTTGGGACAAGCTCTGCTGGAGGATATCGGTGGGGAACCTACAGTCGGGGATTGTCTTAAGGGATCCCGGTAGGAGGGGTGTTAGTAGACAGACTCTGGTGGAGGAAATCGTTGGGGAACCTGCAGTAAAGGGGGGCTGTCTGAGGGGATCCTCCAAGATAGGATGGTCTGGGAGCACGTCCTCTACTCCCCAAGATAGATGTAGGAAGGTACCTGTCGTGGGTTCAGAAACCGACCTCTACAACACCCTGGACTTAAAAAAAAAAGTAAAAAAAGTCAACCGTGGTATCTGGTGCGCAACATCCGCCATCATCTCTGGTGCTGGTAAATCAAACCCCATCTCTGTGACCGACGGTCAAACTTGCGGACAAGTCGCCATTTTCTTTTCCCTTGTCTCCATGCCGCTGGCAAATCTTTTTTTTTTTTTTTTTTTTTTTTTTTTTTTGGCTGCTGGCAAATCAACCACAGTCAAACTTGCAGGCAAGTCGCGATTTCATCACCTTTATCGGAAGTTTTTCCCCTTGGCCTGGCCTCCCTGGATTTTCCCACACTTTCCATTTCCAGTCAGAACCCTTCCTCCTCCTCCTCCTCCTCCTCCCCTCCTGGTGGTTAACCAAACAAATACATCATGGGGTTCTCCAGCTGGTTGTCAGTATTGCCTTGTTGGCTATTTGGCTATTTGGCTATTCGTACCATTGACAGGCAGACTGCCTGTCTGTCTATTTGCTGCTGGGTTGTCTATTGACTGGTTGACTGGCTATTTGGCTATTTGGCTATTTGGCTGTTTGCCTACTTGGCTGTGTGGTTATTTGGCTATTCGGCTATGCGACTATCTGAATATTGAGCTGTCGGTAACATGGACTGGCAGGCTGCCTGGCTCTGCGCTGCCTGGCTATTGGCTGCTGGAAGGCTTTTCGCCTATTGATTGGGGTGATGGTTGTCTATTGAATCCCTTGGTAGAGGAGTGCTCCCACTGCCGCGACTCCGACGGCTAGCGCAAATAACGTCAAAACCGGAGTGCTGCCTCCTTCTATTCTCCCAGTCTGCGCGTCATACTTGGCAAAGCGCTGCACACAAAAGGACAAAGTCAAGAAGTGAGAAGAGGGAGGACTTCATGATCAGTGTCATCTCTTTTTTTGAAGAAGAAAAAATGGAAAAAAATTCTTGATCCCTTTTTTTTTTTTTTTCTTGGTGCCAACCAACTGAGACAGTCAGCTGGATCATCCCAGTCTGTATCAGTAAAGTCTTCAGCAAACAAGGGTGTGAGTGCGCATGTGAGTGGGTTGCGTGTGGTGTGTGGGAGAGAGTTGGGGGCTTTCGGAAAAAAAAAAAAAAAAAAAAAAAAAAAAAAAAAAAAAAAAAAAAAGAGTTGGGGGCTTTAGACCCTACTGTTACCCCCCCCGATGGGGGGGGGGGGTGTAAGGGTCCCCTGTATAGCCTTAGGGGTAGTGATGGGTAGTGAAAAGAAAGATATGACCCAAGAGCCTAGCTCAGTGGGTACACCCATGAACTGTTGAAATACAGACCTGAGTTCAAACCCGGATGATGGAACCTGATGAGTAAAACCAAATATTTCTGAATTGCCTGGGGCCGGTCAGCTCAATGATGATATCTCAAGACCGTCGCCCTTTAAAAAAAAAAAGAAAAAAAAAAAAGAAAAAAAAAAAAGAAAGATATGTTCCATGACATGGCAGAACGCCAGTTAAAAGATATGTGAGGTGAGAGAAAAAGTTCCGGACTTTTTGGCCAGGACTTTTTTTTTTTTTTTTTTTTTTTTTTTTTTTTTTCCCCGGACAGGATCAAAAGGTCTGGCACATTCTTTTGCAAGCTATCCTATCTAATGGTTTGCCATCACGAGGCCTAAACCTGCAAAGTTCGCCTCACTGCAGTGGCACATAGAACACCGCTGCCTTCCCACCAATAACTGGCTGGTGGATCGCACATACGTGGAAGTTGGAACAGAAGGGTCTGGCATTACCATGGTGTAAATCCTGTCACACCGTCTTCCTTTCTCTTTTTCTTTTTTTTCTTTTTTTTTTTTTTTTTCTTTCTTTTTTTGGTGGGTGCTCACAGGGCCCACCCCTACCTACCTCACCTTTGTGCTTCCTCAGCGTAACCTCTGCTTCCTCCATCTACGGGGGCACTCGTTTGGTCCTCTCGGGTATACCGTCTTCCCTTCTCATAAGATCGCGGACACTGTAGAACACATCTTCCCACAGTGCTCGGGGGGGCGGTCCTCACATGGCGTTGGTGGGATAGGATATGGAGCCTTTTAGGCAGCGAGTCCCCCTGGCCATGTGTCTGGAGAGCGCTAGTTTGCGAGGCATGGACCTCCCCCACAGCCAGCGCCTTTGAAAATAATACAAATACATTTAAGATAGGGAGGAGAGCGGTTATCTGGGCACTCTGGAGAAAACGCTGTATACATACGGAAAAAAAAAAAAGAAAAAAAAAGAAGGGGTTCGTATAGAGGGGGAGGAAGTGACGAACATGATATAGCAGTATATCCATCAAGAACTCTCGCGGTGGCAGGAAGTAAAAAACCAATTGGACTTGTGTCACTTAAACAAAGACATTACACAAGCAATCATTCAATTCTCAGCGGACTGGCTGGGTAGCGAAAATGGGCGCCGGATTGCCTATGTCCAATGGGAGGGCGGCCAAGTCCTGGCGCACGATCAGGACGATTTCAGGAGGGACTACTGCACCTGGTTGTCATACTGGGGACACTCAGGACATACTCACACTAGGAGTTTTTCCTATTTTTCAGTGGTTTTTAATTTTTATTTTTTTTATTTTTTTTATAACGATTTAGTAGTTGTTGGATCAATGAGACATCAGTTTTCTACCGAGACTGCCTACATGATGGAGGCCATAAGAGCTGCAGTGCTGTGGACACTTCTTTTTACTCCTTTATAATTTTTTTATTTTTAAGAGCAGGCAACTGAAACGGTATTCACCTGTTTGCAGTAGCCGATGCAGATCCCAGGGCTCGATCCCTAGTCCTCACCTTACCGCCCCGAGTGTTGAACCCGTGACCTGTGTATTTGTAACAGTTGGTAGATTGTCGCAGGTCCGTAGGTAGCAGGGGTTCGATCTGTAGACCTGTTGAGTAGGAGTTTTAGGGAGTTCTAGAAGTGGTAGCTGTAGAGCTTCCGAAGAGTCAAGGTCGTAGCTGCTACAGCCCTGAAAGGTCAAGGTCGTAGCTGCTGCAGTAACGAAAGGCCAAGTCCACGGCCTTCCGGAAGGTCCTAGCAGTGGCCTTTCGGAGTTGCCCACGTTTAGGCTGAGGCAAGTGGGCAAGTCAGCAGCCCCAGTCCCAGTCAGTCCTAGTCCAGTCAAGCAAGTACCGCACGGGACTGTGTGCACTACGGGCATGGGAAAAGGCCAGACCAACGAGCCACAGAAGCATAAATCAAAGAGCAGCACCCAGCCATTCATTCATTCCTGTGTAAGCTATGTGGAAGCGCTGCCACAGCGACTTGTGTGAGGTGGTCTGCAGTGAGCCCGAAGACGAAGTGGGCGAGAAGGAGAGTTAGCCATAGCGATAGGGTAGCAGCGGCCATAGTCGCCATAGCTGTAGAGTGTGGGCGAGGGTGTGTGAGTGTGTATGCGTGTACAGAGTGTTGCGTGTGGGATATCCAGGGTGATCCTGTGTGTGCGAACGGAGAGTTGTATAGGCGCTGTGTCGCCATAGCCATTTGAAGTGAACTTGTATCTGAACTGTGTTCTTGGTTACTATATCTCTGAGTTGAGTGGGCGCTTGTCGCCAGTTTGCTGCGCAACCTGTTTGCATCCATGTGAAGTGTAAAAGATAGCGAGTCCGATTGCACGACGGCCTTGGGATATCATTTGCAGTGGACAACGGCCCTAGGTAACTCCAAATTGTCCGTATTTTCTTCATCGGCTTCCCGTGTGAGTTCGAACTCAGGTCCGTATTTCAACAGTTCAATTCAGCGCGGGTGAACCAACTGAGCTAGGCCAGTTGGCGTGCTATGGACAACTTGGGTTTCTAGGAATGACAAAATCAAGGAAGGAACATTGATACTTCCTCGATACTTCTTTAGTACTTCTTTGTTCTCTCTGATAGCTATTGCGAGGACTGAGCCCCACGGCTGTGCTTCCGGAAGGCCGCACCTGCCCTAAGTGAAGGGGGGGCTCCAAAAATCGGTCTTGGTCCGCATAGAGGCCTGTGAGAGCTGAAAATGGGCCCGGGTGGGAAGTTGCCGCATGCACCGTCTTCAACCAACTGGTAGGGCCCAGCCCCCGGGCGGTTGAAGATGCTGAGGCCAAGCGCTCAGGCAGTTAGGCCCCAAGGCACATTGCGGAAGCGGCCCGGGCCATAAGTACCGGGACAGCGTGCAGACAGTCCAGCCAGTCCGCGATCCTCGCAGCCAGCACAAAAGGAACTGAGGCCGTCTCGTGTTGGGCATTCTGGCTGGGTGGACGTGTCAGCGCTGCTAGAGCGCTCGCTCGTGCGGATGAGCGCCAGACCAGAGAGAAGGGCGCTGGCGGGGTGCAAGCAAGCTGCTGGGCGCAGCGATCCTCTCTCTCTCTCTCTCTCTCTCTTTCTCTCTCTCTCTCTCTCTCTCTCTCTCTCTCTCTCTCTCTCTCTCTCTCTCTCTCTCTCTCTCTCTCTCTC